TTTACTAAACATCATTTGGTCGGTTTGGTCATTTCAGATGTAACCGAGACATAAGATGGTGACGCCATAATTTCATCCAAGCTGCCACACTAGTTTATGGGGTAGAAGAACGATTTACTCGAGGCACCTTACAAGCTAGAACTATAAGTGACATTGAAGGATTCATGCTTGATTTTTCGTTTAATCTGCAACAAAATAAGCACAAACTGATTGAGAATAATTTGATAGAAAAACCTTATAAATAATCATTAAACAACAAAAGACAAAAGCAAAGCCAAGAAGGGAAAAAAAAAAAACAATTTAACTATTTTGACTAAACTAAGAACATCAGCAAAATGCAAAAACTAAATCTCAGGATAAACTAATTATCATTGTAGTAACAACAAATTTATGCATAGTTAACATCTCTTAAGAATACTTGTTGGTCTCTTAGCTCCCCTGCTCATGATGAAGGTTTCAATTGGTGGAGCAATATCTAGAGTATCAAAACGGCCCCTAAGATTCAGACTTTCCTTTAGAAACTCAAAATCAGAGCTCCATATCCTCATCAACTGCCCTTACTCCGAGAGAGTATGGGACCTTCAAACCACACCAAGAGGCGTTTTTAAGTAACTCACTGTCTCAACTGCTGGATATTTCAAGAAAGATGGTTAATCCCCCACACCCTCGGGTATCTCAGTGGCTCTTTACCACCCATGGGTGTGTTGGCAGCTATGGAAATCACGAAACTGTTTGATCTTCGAAAATAGAAACTATACAGAACAAGAAGTTGTGTTAAAAGCTTTAAATGAAGCTCGTTATTGGCAAATGCCTAAGCCTCCTCGTAGCGTTTCTATCATGTTTCGCCCCCTCAGTCTAGATCGCGATGCAATCCTTTGTCATGTGGATGCAAGATCACTTGATTGTGGTATAGGCTGGGTCTTCTCAAATCAGAGTAAGCATACGCGTGAAAAAAATGGAACAACGAGTAGCTAAAGAATCTCTTCTTCTTCTTTTTTTTTGGAATTTTTTTTCTAAATTGACCTCAATTATACTAAATCAATTTTTTTGTGAAAGTATGTGATATATATTATGGTAAGGTTCCGGACCACAATGCAAATATAGCAAAATAGTGCGGCTAAAGTAAAAATCATTGGAACCTAGAAGAGAGAGTCTCTCTCAGAAAAGATCGTCCACTTGCGGCTTAGATATAAAGATTCGA